ATTGGTTGAAAGTTTACTTTTGCCTAAATTTAAAAACCCCTTTGTCCTTTTAGTTTTTGCTCTAGGTTACTGTTTGGGTAAATGGATTTAAACGTCTTTTTTAATATTTTTACACTTTCCTGAAGGTGGGTTTTTTAAGCAGTGGGTAACCTGTCTATTCCCTTTCCCGCTTGGATGTCGAGAGGGTCACCTGGGAATCAAAGAGTTTGAACGGAGAAGGGCTTTTAAAGTCCAAGACTTCCCATTTTTTTTTTTGAACTTCCCTTTCCCTGTATGAAAAATTTCAGGCGTAACTCCCACAGATTTTCCCGGAAAAAACCTGCTTTTCCCTTTTGGGGTTGAAAATCAATGGTTTTACTGTGAAAATAAGCCCCGGGTGGTTTCCCCAAAACCTGCGCACCCCCCCCCCTTATCATCACAACGGGTACGGGTTTTAACAAAAAATTGTCACCAAACCAGACACCCTTGGGAGATATTAGTGTTTATTTTAAAAAGTTAATTTATTCATTTCATTTTTCATTTTTCTTTTTTAAATTGGGGTATACCTTTCATGTTTTTTTGTTTTTTGTTTGATTTTTTTTAATTAGTGTTTTTTCTTTTTTGGGAAATTTTTTATTTCCTTTTTTTTATTCATTAATTTTTCCCGAGGGGAGCCAGCCTGATAATACTGTTGGGAAATTGTTACAGGGGGTGGAAGCCTTCCATAAAGGGTTTTTTATTATTTTTTTTTATTAAAAACCCCCTGGGCCCATTCCCCCCAAGCAGGGGGGCCCAAAAAAGAAAAAAATTTCAAACCCTCATTCACTCCATCACTTTCTTGCCAGAAGGATGCTTTACACAAAAGTTTTTTAAAATGCAACATTTAACACCCCTCCTTTTTTAGGTGGGCCCCTGTAAATTTCCCCTCTCCAGGACCCCAAGCCGGGCCCGCCCGGGGTTTCCCCGAATTTTCCCTTAAAAAATGGGTTTCTTTGCTCATAAATTTTTACTTTGCTTTAAAATAATTATTGGGGATGCATTCTGGTCAGAGAGCCCCTCATAAGTCCAAGTTGTCAGTAAATGAGTACATTGCTAAGTGAGGAGAGGCTGCACTTATAAAGACCTTAATCTAAAATACAAATTTTCAAAATACAGTATTGTACAATAAAGTACAGTATACAAAATAATCTTGAGTACTGACAATGACAGAACAACAAATTACAAGGCTTCCAATCAAATTCTTGAAATGGGGTAAAGTTTAATTCACAAAATACCTCATACATAGCGTATCAACTGGGAAAAATACTGTATTTTTTAGTGCAGAGTGCTACTGAGTACGTACAGTGGACCTCGCCTAATGATGGCATCGCATAACGTTAAATCCGCTAGCGATACATTTTAACGCAAAAATTTTGCCTCGCCTAGCGCTAAAAAACTCGCTCAACGCGATTCGTCCGAGACATGTCCACATACGGCCTGAGCCAGCCTCACTTGTTCCGTGGGTGGCAGTGTTTACAAGCCAGCCTCCGCGGTCACATCCAAGCATACATCGGAACATTTCGTATTATCACAGCATTTTAGATATTTCACCCGCAAAGTAAGTGACCATGGGCCCCAAGAAAGCTTCTAGTGCCAACCCTACAGGAATAAGGGTGAGAATTACTATGGATATGAAGAAAGAGATCATTGCCAAGTATGAAAGTGGAGTGCGTGTCTCCGAGCTGGCCAGGTTGTATAGTAAACCCCAATCAACCATTGCTACTATTGTGGCCAAGAAAACGGCAATCAAGGAAGCTGTTCTTGCCAAAGGTGCAACTTTGTTTCGAAACAAGAGATCGCAAGTACTCGAAGATGTTGAGAAACTGTTATTGGTGTGGATAATGAAAAACAGATAGCAGGAGATAGCATCTCTCAAGCGATCATATGTGAAAAGGCTAGGAAGTTGCATGAGGATTTAATTAGAAAAATGCATGCAACTAGTGGTGATGTGAGTGAATTTAAGGCCAGCAAAGGTTGGTTTGAGAGATTTAAGAATCGTAGTGTCATACATAGTGTAATAAGGCATGGTGAGGCTGCCAGTTCGGACCACAAAGCAGCTGAAAAATATGTGCATGAATTCAAGGAGTACATAGAAGCTGAAGGATTGAAACCTTCAATTGTGTAAACCTTATAGGTAAGGCTTGGAAGGGAGTGACTAAGAGGACCTTGAACTCTGCTTGGAAGAAACTGTGGCCAGAATGTGTAGACAAAAGGGATTTTGAAGGATTGTGAGGCTAACCCTGAGAAGCGTATGCCAGTTGAGGAATCCATTGTGGCATTGGGGAAGCCTTTGGGTTGGAGGTTAGCGGGGAGGAGTGGAAGAGTTGGTGGAGGAGGACAATGAAGAACTAACCACTGATGAGCTGCTAGATCATCTTCAACAGCAAGAGGCCACACCTGAGGAAACTGCTTCGGAGGAGGGGAGAGAGAAATTGAAGAAGTTGCCTACTTCAAAGATTAAGGAAATGTGTGCAATGTGGCTTAAAGTGCAAACCTTTTTTGATGAAAATCACCCTGACACAGCTATGCAAGCCGTTGCTGGTGACTATTACACTGACAATGTTGTGAAACACTTTAGGAAAGTCATAAAGGAACGAGAGGTACAGGCCTCTATGGACAGATATGTTGTGCAACAGAAATCCAGTGACTCTCAAGCTGGTCCTAAGTGGCATTAAAAGAAGGGAAGTAACCCTGGAAAAGGACTTGCTACCTCAAGTCCTAATGAAGGGGATTTCCCTTCTAAAACACTAAGACCATCCACACTCTCCCCTCCTCTCATCCCATTAATCATCACCAGATCTTCAAAAAAGGTAAGTATCATGTAACTGTGCATGTCTTCTTCAGTTTGTGTGTATTAAAATTAATATTTTATGTGGTAAAAAATTTTTTTTTTCATACTTTGGGGTGTCAGGAACGGATTAATTTGATTTCCATTATTTCTTATGGGGAAAATTAATTCGCCTAATGATAATTTCGCCTAACATTGAGCTCTCAGGAACGGATTAATATCGTTAGGCGAGGGGTCCACTGTATATCTGCTTGAGTACCACATTCCAAGCATTGTAGCACAGCATATCTAAATAAAATTTGTATTAAAGAATAATTATTAGTTCTATCAAGAAAAGATACTTTGGATCCATATGGCACACTGCTGACAATAATGAAAAGATGCACATTGCAGAACAAGCTTTTGTTATGATAACATATTGTTGTGTAGAGCTTTAGCAGGTCTTGAAATGTTGTCTCAGTAAAAGTTATTCTGCAATGCAAGTCTTTTCTTCAAAAGATACTTTCATGTCTTCTAAATCAACTTCCTAGTATCCTCTAAGAATTAGTTACTTAGTGCACAAATAACCACACTTAGGAAAGGAAAATTAATGACGATGCTTCAGTTTACCAAAACATTGTCTTTACTTTCCCTCTCCTGATAGTGCATGTTATTTGTATATTGTTCCAGCCATGCTATTGTGACTATTATTTAGTTACTTAGTGAATCCTACAGAAAAATAGCTAATTTTATTGCTAATGATGGAGCACATCTAATTTATTCGAGGCTGCCAGGATCTTTGGAACAATTACATAAATGTCAAAATATCTTACAATATTCTTTTTTAAACTCATAAAAATGCCTATTGTATAAGCTACATGCATAAGTTCAGTGGATCCTACAGACAAATGGCTGATTTTATTGCTAATGACAGAAAAACATCTAATTTATTCAAAGCTACAAGGAACTTTGGAACAATTACATAAATGACAAGATATCTTAGAATGTTCTATTTAAAACTCAAATATAAAAAATACCAGTAACAGACTATTGTATAAGCTGCATGCATTCGTTCAATTAGAGAACCAATCCAGTGTTAGGGATACATACTTGGCTGTTAGCAATGTGCTAACCGTGCCACCGTTGTCTGGTTGAAAAGTTTTAATAATGGGTTAAAATGCAATAACAGACCTGTTATAATTATAGGTAACTGCTAAACCCATAGGGCTCAATACAGTGCCTGGAGGATGGGAGGTAATCAGATTTGATGCAAAGTAGGGTAGCTCCAATTCTTTGAATCAAAAGCATTTCAAGGTAGCCTCATTGATGGGTGTAATCTGTAACTCCCAGGGTGGTTATGTTTGTCAGTGCCAATTTACTGGAATATGTATCTAAATAAAGAATAAAATGATTGAATAATTAATTGTGTTTCTTGGGAAATGCTAAGCTTGTAGAAGTCATATATACACTGCCTGAGAAATAGGAGGTAATCAGATTTGTACCACAGAAAATGAGGGTAAATCCATTTTCTAGGATAAACAATATACTGCATTAAAAATAAGCAAAGCTGGGGAAAAATCTATAGGCAGGATGAAAACTTTCTTATTTCTAACTACTCACAGAATAGGTGGGGTTCAAACTCATGGCAAGCTAGTCATAAAACTGGCAGACCAGTGCACTAACCACTGTACTATGCTTGCCTAATAAGATTCATCTAACTAGAAAAGTTAGTGTAAGTCCCAATTTGACCAAAATTGTGATTTTTACAGAGTAATCTCACGCCAACATGGCAAGATCTAGCTCTTATTAGGCCAGTATGATACAGCTGATAAAGCACTAGCCTGCTAGGTTTTAAGACTAGATTGCCATGGGTTTGAATCCAGCCTTTCCACGAATTATTCACAATTGTGTTGTGATTTTGCATGTTACTTCTCACTCTTATGTAGCACAAGTAGAAGATTGGTATAAATAAACAGGATATAAATAATTTGCAGAAAATACTCGAGACAACCTGCAGCAATGAACTTAAGTTCAATGAGTTTAAATTCACTTTATTATTATTAAATTAGAAACATGCACTAAACCACATGGATCATGCAGTGTGTAACTGAGTGAAGCATGCTACCAAATAGCATAATTTAAGCAAGTGTTTTGGGAAGTTTTAATTACAAATTAAAGATGTAAATGCATGGGAATGGTTAGGTGTGAGGAGTACCTGACTAACATGGGCCAGAAGTTTACTCCAGTGCTTCTTTGTTCTTAAGTTTGTACACCATGCACAACACTCATCTGCATCATGGTAAACAGCTCTTACAAAACTTCTGAAAAGAAACTTCAAATTATTTACAATAAAATTGTAATGTTCATCCTAAATATGGGTGCAAAATAACATGGTCAGGATTAATTAATTAAAATAATTAATCTATTTATATTTTAAATATGATATTATTTCTATTTCAGTACTGTAAACAGTATTACAATGCTTTTTTCTACTGCATATACACTTTAACTCCTTAATTACATATCACAGGAAAGTCTTGATAAGTCACAAGTGAATCTATCTGAATCATACTAGGCAGTAGGCTGGTGGAGAGCAACCATTCATCATGTCTGGCATGCAAATGCACTCATCTTTGCATCAACATACATACTCATCAAGACACCCCACATCCTGACATATGTAGCCTGTTTTTCATTGGTAATTTGTAGTTGAACAATATTTTATTTGTTTATGTACCTAACCTAAACTAGCATCACCTAAAATAAAAGTAAATTATTTTCTGCATATAGAGAGTCTTGAAAGAATTTACATTGAGTAATATATAGGAAATGAACAGTGTAAAATGAGGATGGGACGGAAGAAAGTTGCACATTCAAATCATGAAAGCCTTATCTATGTTACCCTGGACTATGCATAATTTTAATAAGTTTTTATTGAGGCTTTGGGTAGTTTCACCTAACATACAAAATTCTTTTTACAATGGTTTTCAGGGCACACAGATGCCCTTAAAACCACGAGGAAGTGCTAAATTCATGGACATCAAACGGTGCCTGAGGACTGAAAGGCACTTCAGGTTCATTCAAGGAACTGGAGCACAGAACCAATTCCATAGATCATGAGCCCTCACAGCTTCACTACATTTCCCTTGAGGGGAACTGTACACCTACAACAGTATACCTGGAGTTTACCTGGAGAGAGTTCTGGAGGTCAATGCCCCCGCGGCCCGGTCTGTGACCAGGCCTCCTGGTGGATCAGAGCTGATCAACCAGGCTGTTGCTGTTGGCTGCACGTAAACCAACGTACAAGCACAGCCGGCTAGTCAGGAACCGACTTTAGGTGCTTGTCCAGTGCCAGCTTGAAGACTGCCAGGGGTCTGTTGGTAATCCCCTTATGTATGCTGGGAGGCAGTTGAACAGTCTCGGGCCCCTGACACTTATTGTATGGTCTCTTAATGTGCTAGTGACACCCCTGCTTTTCATTGGGGGGATGTTTGCATCGTCTGCCAAGTCTTTGCTTTCGTAGTGAGTGATTTTCGTGTGCAAGTTCGGTACTAGTCCCTCTAGGATTTTCAGGTGTATATAATCATGTATCTCTCCCGCCTGTGTTCCAGGGAATACAGGTTCAGGAACCTCAAGCGGTCCCAGTAATTGAGGTGTTTTATCTCTGTTATGCGCGCCGTGAAGGTTCTCTGTACATTTTCTAGGTCAGCAATTTCACCTGCCTTGAAAGTGCTGTTAGTGTGCAGCAATATTCCAGCCTAGATAGAACAAGTGACTTGACGAGTGCAAAGAGTGCAAAGTTAACCTAGGATAACCTAACATTGTTAAACAATGTGGTCATTGCAACTACACTGTATATTTATTGGTTAATTTGAGTACTGTGTCATGATGGTAGTGAAACCATTTGATGAAGCTGACACAGAGGAGGAAAAACAATACCTGGCCTTATCTAATTTGATTATGAGCACATATCCCATAGTCCTGAATTCAACATTGACTATCTAGGTACAAAGGCACGATATAGGTTTTGGGGTATATTTTGCGTAGAAACCATTAGAGGGAGGTAAAATTTTAGATGGTTTAGTGAAGTTAAAGCAATAACAGTACCAAACTGTACCGAAGATCTGCAAAATTAGCTATAATCAAGATTCAACAAAATAAATTTATATGAATATATATTTATTTTGACAAACCTTCTCTTTTCTACTTGGCACATTTTTGCCAACTTTCAGCAAAATGTTACTATACAAGAACACAGTGGTCACAGCAGTACAGTTATATAGATTATTATACATAGCAACATATGTGTAGAGAACCTGGGAAAAACCCAAAAAAAGACTTATTTCCATTGGGGTCCTTTAAGGATCAGTGTCGAGGTCACAATTATTATTATAAATCAAGGGGAAGCGCTAAACCCGTAGGATTATCAGCGCCTGGGGGGGGAATGTGGAAGGCATTCAGGCTTAATTTGGGGAACTGGAGCACAGATCCAATTCCCAAAATAAAGAGCCCCTCACCACATCAAGGACCCTCCCTGAGGGGTGTCGAGGTCACAATTAAGTTTATTTAGGTACAAGTGCATATAAATAGTCACACAAAAATTTTCATACATGATAACAGGTGTAAATTACTATGATAACCCAAAAAATTGATTTATTCCCATTGGGTTTCAAAGTTCAATATCAGGGCCCCACTTCAGGGTCTTTCATAAGGATACGTGAAATTAACTTAGAAGTTCCTCTCCTCCCGGTGACTGCAGAGTTGTGATATGGTGTGACTAATTATGCTGGTTCACTGTAATAAGTGATTACTGGTGGTCACTGCTTGTGGTAGTCAAAAGTCCTTTACAAATTCTTGTCACTTTACGGGACCATAGTTGGTGTTGGGGTCTTCAGGGCCACCGAAGCTTACGCTTAATAATGAAAGTAATAGTTATTTATTTATTTATTATTTGAACATGATACAGAGAAGTACAAAGAAAATACATTAGTTAAAGTGCAACATGCCAAAGCCTCTTGTATGCAGAGCCATTATGGGCAGGCTTAAAATTAACTTAAGATTAACTAAGCAATGATATATTCAGTTATAATAATAACCATAATTTTTTCGGCTTATGCTGTCAGTGGCCCTGATAAACTCAACAAAGAAAGAAAGAAAAAACATAATTTTTAAGGGGTGGAGGAGTAAGCCAGCGGAGGCCTCGGTCAGATGGGCAAAAGGCTCCAGCTACAGCTCCAGTAGCTCGATTTCTAGTGCATCCCCAAAGGAAATAAGTCACTTTGTTCCGACTGTTTTTTTGGGTTATCTACTAGGTTCTCTACACTATGCTGCTATGTATGATAATCTGTGTAACTGTATTTGTGTATATCTGAATAAACTTACATTCGGCTCACACGCTGAGGTCGGGGGGTCGATCCCCGGTTGGAAACATTAGGACGTGTTTCCTTAAGACACCTGCTGTCCCTGTTCACCCATCAGTAGATACCTGGGTATTAGTCAACTGGTGTGAGTAGCATCCTGGGACAAAATTGACCTAATTTGCCCGAAATGCTCTGCATAACAAGGGGCTTTCTATATAGTAGTATGTCACTGGACGTCAATTAGACCTGTATACCTTGTACAATGTACTTGTAGAATAAAGATTATTATTATTATTATTATTATTATTATTATTATTATTATATTATTATTTTTATTATTATTATTATGGATGTTAGCTAGGCCTGTATACCTTGTACATGTACTTGTAGAAGCAAAAAAAAATATTATATGACTAAGACCCGCGTCAGAAAACACTTGCCCAGTTTCCTGACAAACCTTACCTAACCTAACGCTTTAAATAATCAAGAAAATGGCACAATACAAGATCAAGAGAGTTTAAGTAAGACCCCGTGTGGGGTGAGCTGGGAAGATGGGACAGGCGAAGAATAGCGGTGGAGAGGAGCGTCCACAGTCAATGAAAAGAACAGGGCTTAACCCAGCTGCTAGGCTAGGGGCTCGTGGGACGAACTTGGAAGAAAACCGGAGGAGCAAGCTGTGTATGCATCGTCTCGTGGTAGTTGAGGTCTTGAGTCTTGAGAAGCTGGCAGTTTTTAGGTCGCAGGAACACACAGGTGGCCCGGTGGCCTGGTGGCTAAAGCTCCGCTTCACACACGGAGGGCCGGGTTCGATTCCGGCGGGTGGAAATTCCGACACGTTTCCTTACACCTATTGTCCTGTTCACCTAGCAGCAAATAGGTACCTGGGTGTTAGTCGACTGGTGTGGGTCGCATCCTGGGGGACAAGATTAAGGACCCCAATGGAAATAAGTTAGACAGTCCTCGATGACGCACTGACTTTCTTGGGTTATCCTGGGTGGCTAACCCTCCGGGGTTAAAAATCCGAACGAAATCTTATCTTATCTTAAAATGGTAACTAGCGCACACACACACAAAACAGGCCTAGTGTCTAATCGACATGTGCCTAGGACAAAATGGTGACACAGGAGAGGGCAGCACAGGTGGGAGTTATTGGAGTAATTGAAGAAGTAGGTTTGCAGTGGAGCCATTTTCAAACTTTTTGAAACTTCTGTAGAGGTGGTACAGTTTAGTCTTGCTACTGAAGGTGAAATGTAGAGGCTTGACGAACTCAAGAACTTGGGTGAGTGTGAAGAAGTGATTCGCAGACAAACTAGACTGCTTCAGCACCGAGGCCTTTGTAGAGCTCATGCAGGTCATGGTGTCAGCATTCGATGGAGAAGTGTAGAAGATAAGGGTTTCCCATGAGGGTGTTACTGGAGTCGTCACTATCTTCTTCTGAAGTGAATTCATTTGGCTAGTTTACGATAGTGCTAGCAGGTGACTAAAGGTCGACAGGAGTAGTGGAGAGGTGTAATGGTGGTGTACAGCAAGTTGGAAGGCGTGGGAGACAGTAGTTGAGGCTGCATGATCATCGTTGTCGGCGGTGGAAGTGGTTATAGAAGTTACAGGAGCAACGCCTCCTCATGCTGAAGGTCACCTTCAGTGCGTCAACCCTGGCAGCCAGAGCCCGGAGGGCCCGGTTTCACTATTCCTATCCCAAATTTTT